ATGGTAGCTGACTGGGAAGAGTCTGAAGGCCATTGAAGGCCTTCACAGGCTGAGGTGCTTCAGGCCATGAAAGATGGCTACTGCCCCGCTTGGCTTTGTTGGGTGGGGAGGGCATGCTTCGGAGAAAGGGAGGGGCAGGGTGGGGCTGTGCCTCGAAGCAGGGTGACATCTGGTTAAACTTGGTCTCAACAAGGAAGGAGCCTGGCGGTGAATTTAGGAAAAGGCTGAGGCAGGGACTCTGCAGGAAGCCTGCGCAGTGTGACAAGAAGAGGGCGGGTCCTGGGGTGGTAGAGGTGGTGGTGGTGGTAACGGAAACAAGGGACTGCATGACCGAGTGAGGACAACTGGAGCCAACCTGGCTGAGATTATGAGCCTTGGAAGAAGGAGTGGGGGGGGGGGCGGGCAGTGGTTCTCTGATGAGGCATCACGCCATCAAATTGAGATCTAGGCTGTAACACGACAACTAACTGCGATATACGGACCTCACTAGAATCCTGAAGGTTACAAATAAACCATTACAAAGTGATGAGATAATTGGAGAACTGAATTCCGAGGAGATTTGATAACCTTAAGGAATTGTTAACTTTTTAAGTGTGGTAATGGTAAGGTGGGTTCAAGAGTCCTTATGTTTTAGAGGCACGTACTGAAGTATGTACAGATGGAAATGATTTGGGTTTGTTTCAGGATTATCCAGGGATAGGGGAGAGTGGGTACGATACAAATGAGGCTGATTTGTTTCTGCCAGTGGTTAGTTGTTGAAACTGGGGGATGTGGAGTTTCATTTTGCTGTTCTCTCTGCTGTTGTATGTATTTGAAATTTTCCATGACAAAAAAATTCTTGTCCTTGGGTAATGCGGATCCTGTACCCTGGGCCTCAGAATTCCCAATTGGAGATCACAAGAGGCATTTTAAGCTAGGCCATGTTAATCTCCTGTCACATTTCAAAACAGAAGTTTGGCCCAACTCTGTTTTGCCTAAAGCAGAAAAACATGAGCTGGAAAGAAAGAATGCTTTGACTTTGTTTGGAAAAACAAACTGGGAGATACACATGATCTCCTTTATCGGGATCATGTGAGGAATCCAATTAACTGAAAAGGCGAAGTCAAAACTGAGAAAAGTGGAGTGTTTACGGTAGCTGGAAATGAATGCCTCTTATGGAAGAATCAGTCCCAAGTGAGGTTTCCTGGCACCAGGGCACTTGGCATAAGTGTGAAAGTTGAGACCAAGTTGAAAAGTCACAGTCTGGGCTGTGGCTGCCTGCAAAAGGCCAGCGTTACTTTGGCAACAAATCACACATCCCCCAGGCAGAGGCTAGGGGTGGGGGGTCGAAAGATGTCTCCTGACAACACCCCGATACTGCTTCCCCGGTGCCCACCCACACGGCATCACATACCCCTCTCACTCACAAGCCACGAGGATGGGAGGCTGCTCTGACGAGGTCCCCAACCGTGCAAGAAGGGGACACTGGCCATCATGCTGGTGGTGGAGGGGGTTCCTATGAACTGCTGTGAAGCCCCATACTTGGCAGGTCATCTCCCAGGCCACAGGGGAGTAAACCAGATTTCTTTCTCACTGAATGCTCCCAAACAGAACACATCCTCATGCAGGTAAATTAGGAAGCTAGGAAGGTAAATTTTGAACCTGAGCAAGTGACCTAAGTTTTCTTTTCTTTTTTGAAGAGAAAAAAATGATATGGAGTGGTTGGGAAGCTAGGGGGATTAATAAAGGGGCATGTGTCCCTGGAGAGGAACAAGCAGAAAATTAGCATCAGAATATGGCCCTGTAAACAGGTAAGGGCCTGCTCTGTGCCAGGCATCATGGGAGAGGCAGGGGTGAAGGTAACATTGCCTTCATGGAGAGCATGGGGGAGGGAGGACATAGTCATGCCCCAGATCTCCTGGATAAATACTAACACAGGAGGCTGTAGAGGCTCTGTCACCCAGGGAAGTTAACTCTGTAACTAAGCCAAGGCCTAATTAGGGCAAATCATTTAATCTCAATGCTTCATCTATAATGATGGGGAAGCCAGGCTGACCATGGTGGCTACTGGGAAGGCCATTGAAGGCCTTCACAGGCTGAGGTGCTTCAGGCCATGAAAGCCTGAATGCACCATCTATAATGGTGCAATTTTTACCTTGCTGATACTATAGAGTTGTAAGGGCCAAAACTACTACAAATAATGATAATAAAGCAGGAGGAGTAGAAAAGGCTTTTTAGACGCCGTTGCCGTAAAGGGCTGTGGCTAGTGATCAAAGACAAGCGCCCCCTGGTGACAGCAGCAACACTGCGGCAGGTTCCTGAGGTGGGTGGCTTGCCTGCCCTGGGAAAAGCAGTGCCCTGTGCTCTTGGTCCCACAGCCCCTTCCCAGAAGGCACTTTGTCACATGCCCGGGAGCTAGCTGCCTTGGCATGAGCAGCTCTCCCCAAGTTGTTCAAACTTGCCTGATACAGAGGGTGGAGGCGCTTAGTCCTAGTAATCTCCATCCATCTCAGAGCTGAGAGCCAGAACAGAACTTCCCGAACACAGTGTTCAATTCTCTCATTTGAAAAGGGTAAAGGAGACTCAGGCAGGGAATGTGACTTGCTCAAGGTCATTCACTGAGGTGGTGGGATGGCTGGTGCTGAAATCTTGTTTTCTGGAATCTTCTGGTCTAACATAGCTGCTTCTCTTTCTGAAGAAGGTTTTGCCAACACTGGCTCTGTTGCCTTTTATATCCCTAGCCTTTCCTGCTCCCAAATACCCAATTTAGTGTCAGTTCCAATAAAGAGTATTTAGGGCACAATGAAAAAGAAAAATTCCTCCTGATAACCTTTTCCTAAGCTCTCTGTTCTGTGGGATGTTTTATTCTTTGGCAAAGTGTTTACCAAATGTCTGTTATTCATGTGGCCCTCATCACAACGTGAGCTCACAGGGATCAAAATGAGATGTTCCTATCCCCAAAGAGCTCTTGGTTTAGTTAGCACCAGAATGCTCTCTTCATGAAATCTTTTGGAACCTCTGTTCTGGGAAGGGAAAGTCCTTCTAACCCAGTTCCCTTTAGTCATGCATCCGAGGAGAAATCATTTCATTGCTGTACCTCTTTACTCACCAAGTTTTTCCATTCCTGCATGGCTGGCAGCTTCTGCCACCCTGGCTGTGGGTCCAAATGCCACTGTGAGCAGAAAAAAGGCTGGTGGCCTCACTCTAGAAGGCTTGTTCCTGGTAGCTGAGCTCTTGCTGACCTGAGGGTTTGCATGATACCTCAGGATTGCTCCCTCTTGGCTTCCTGCTGTCCCTAAGGAATTTGGTTTTGTCCTTAGCTGAGTAATGGTCTTACTTTGGTGTCCTCCAGGCTCCCTCTTCCTCTGCCATCTTGGTGTAGTTGAACTGCTTTGAATCCAGGGCTCTGAGGTCTTGAAAATTAAAATACAGCTCAGTGAAGACCCTGACTGACATGAGCAAGTGAGAAAACTGGTGTCCAGTGAAAGGTTGGACAGGACATTTTGAAATCCTTTCAAGTTCTAACATTTCCAAGAAGGTATATCCAAAGGTTGAAAGCCTGAAAAATTAGTAGGGTTCTACTGTGCATGTCCAGACCTCGGATCAACTTCTCATAGCATTTTAAATGAACCTGGACACCAAGTTTTTCTTCTGACTCTCCTTACTCTCAGATGAAGTCCCCTAGTTAGAGAACAAGGGGTAAGGAGCCAGGATTCTGTGAGGCCAGTGTATTGTGAAATAGTGCTGCTGTCTATGGATGGGGTCCTGGAAGAAGTGGTGTTCATTTCCTCTCTGCTTCAGTTACTATCATTCCTGGTGCTGAAATACTGATGGACCCCAGATGGTAAAACTTGGGTCCCAACTCGGAGAGAGCCCACAGGGCACCATGGTTCTACCCTAACGAGCCATGACATGCTAATTATTTGCCTTTCTGGAGAAACCTCTGCCTGAAAATCCATTTAATTACCACAGGAGATAATCTTTTAAACACAGCTTTACATTCTTTAAAGATTCTTTTCCCTATGGGAGTGAGAAAGTTTATCTGAACATGGGATTGGATTGTTTATTGCCATTTCCAGAGGAAGAACAATTACCCGGTAGTTAGCAAGAAGCCTGAGCCCTGGAGGATTTATTTTTTAAGTCTCTTCCTGCTCACTGGTAGTTTGGCATTAGTTCGTAGTACTGTCACACTCTCCCAGTATAAACTCTGCGCTTAGCTCTGTGATTCCAGCCATATATTTACTTGATATATTTTTTTAAGATTTTATTTATTTATTTGACAGAGAGAGATCACAAGTAGGCAGAGAGGCAGGCGGGGACGGGGGAAGCAGGCCCCCCGCCGAGCAGAGAGTCCGATGCGGGGCTCGATCCCAGGACCCTGAGATCATGACCTGAGCTGAAGGCAGAGGCTTAACCCACTGAGCCACCCAGGCGCCCCAATTACTTGATATTTTTCAAGCATCCCTAACAGGTGGAGTTTTATACTTGCTCTAGATGTGGGTATGTCAATGTCCTCCAGGGTTCCTACTAGGAAGATCATACCTGTAACTTCACTGACCCCAGAGACCTCCCTGGAGTTGTGGCCAATTTTTCCAGCCTGAAGCATCCCAGAGGATTCAAGTTTGGGCGAGCAGGGGCCCTGTTGTTGTGTTCAACCTGGCGGCCCCAAGACTGAGTAGTTCCTGCTCATAATAGGTGCTCCATAAACAGATGCAAAATTGTTGAAAATCAGTAGGTCTTCATGTGGAGAGGATATGTACTGTGTCAAAATATGAACAGTGTAAAAATTCAAATGGAGCTTGGTGGTTCCTAGTCCTTGGCATGGGGTCTGCTCTAGTCTCTTCCCCATATCACTTTAAGAGCAAGTGAGCAGTAAGCTGAGATCTCTGGGCATTGAAGAATATCCCTCTGGGGATGAAGAGGAGAAAAGCAGTGGATCCTATTGAACATAGGATTAGAAAGGGAGGAACGAACATTTGTGGAAAACCGACTAAACTTTGCGCTTGAATCTCCCCTTCCAGGGCCCGATGGGGAAAAGAGCTGGTCTAAGAAGTACCCAGCATGTGGGGGTATGCTACAGTCTCCGATAGACCTGCATAGTGACATTCTCCAGTACGACGCCAGCCTTGCGCCCCTGGGGTTCCAAGGCTACAATATTTCTGCCAACGAGCAGTTTATCCTGACCAACGACGGCCATTCAGGTGAGAGAGAGATCTGTGCGATCTGCAAGGCGATGTCCGAGCATCCTCAGCTCCTTGACCTGCTCTCTTCCATCGGCAGGGAGGGGGGTCCACGGAAGTATCCAGGAGAAGTGGAGTGGGCAGTGGTCCGGGGGAGCCCAGGGATGCCTGGACCATTCAGGGGATGCCGGAGGCTGCTCTGCCAGGCCAGCACCTCCCAGAAGAAGCACATCTCTTGGGAGGGGGGAGCGGACAGGCCTGAGCCCATTGGTCCCTTGGCTCAAATACTCCAGGAGCCATGCAGTTCATTGTGGGGTCCCCCAGGCTCTGGAGTCAGACAAACATGGATTTGAATCCTGGCTTGACTCCTAACTTAGAAGTCATGAGACTCTGGGTAAGAATATTAACCTCCTTGAGCTTTTGTCTGGAAAATGGGCATATTGATGTGTATTGTGAAGACTAGAGATTACGTATGTTGGGATCTGGAATATGGTAGATGCCTCATAAATAGCCATTTTTATTGTTATTGTTATATTCTATGGCTTGGCAGATACTTCATTAACTTCTATCTTCATAGATGGGTGTGTAATACATGGAGGTGTAAACAAAACACCCACCCGTTGGTCTAGTATTCATGCTCCTGCCATCCTTTTCCCAGGGGAGCCAAGAAGGTGTTGGTGCTGCTAGAATTGGTTTAGGGAAATGGGGCCGTTCTCAGAAGAGCCCAAGTTTCTGATCCTCAGGCTGTGTCTCTCTGCTCGCTGAGTCCACCTGCCTCCTGTCTGGGCCCAGGCAGGTATTGCCTCCCTCACTGCTCTCAGGCAGTGCTCAGCGGGCCAGGGCTCTGAAGGCTCCACTCCCCACAGTGAGGCTGAACCTGACCCCGGACATGCACCTCCAGGGCCTCCGGTCCCGCTACACTGCCACACAGCTGCACCTGCATTGGGGGAACCAGAATGACCCGCACGGCTCCGAGCACACTGTCGGTGGGAAGCACTTTGCCGCAGAGGTGAGTGCGGCCATGGGGCTGACAGAGGCTGCCTGGCGGTGGGTAGTCTGGCACCCTTCCACCTGGCTGGTGGACAGGTAAGATCGGAGCACAAGCAGGGGCTGCCTTTAGGCTCGCCATACCCACCACGCCTGGCGCTGTCAGCAGCACAGGAAGGTGGAGCCACTCTGGCCACCCTGCAGCTCATTTGCGGTGTCCTGTTCCCCTTCCTCTCCTGAACACACAGAGTTTGTCTCTCTGCCGCTTACTGAACGATGCTGCTCAGAAGGCAGTGCTCCCAGGGGGGCAGAGGGACGCACATACCCCTTTTCTAGACATTGCCCTTCTGCTTGCACAGATCAAGATCCCACCAGCTTGTCTGGCTGATGTAGGTCATCCCAGACACATAATAGCATCTTGACTATGGCATCTATGTGCTCCAATACCATGGAGCCACCTATGGCCAAGGGCCAAACCTGTTAGAAGTGTGAGGTACACCAGTCAACGGAAAAACAGTGGATGACCCTGGTTGTAAGGATCTGATCAGTGTAATACAGCTTAGAGATCGCAAGGTATCATCAACTGGGGCAGCTTCTTACCCTAGACTTGAGTTAGGATCTTAGAATATGCATCAGGAGGCCCAATCTATATACTATTTTGTATGTATCCCACTGCTGGATCATACTGGGCTAATTGCTCCCGCAAACTTCTCAGTCTTTCTTCACATGCCATGATGTTTGCATAGGCCTTTCCCTTCCCATTTTTCCTTTCCCCTGGGCATGGGTGATGCTTGGAACCTTGGGACCCAGGGTTACTCTTCTACTTGGCCACAAGCTGAGGGATGCCTGGCATTACAATCCCCTGGACATCAGTGTGGTGACAGACTTGACCAGGATAGTTTGGGAGGTGAGCACAGCACTGTGTTATGTCATGTCATCCTGCAGCACTGACCCAAAAGGCCACACGAAAACAGGAGGAGTGGAGCGTTGTACCTGCCCCACAGGTGTGCAGGGGGGACGCAGGGTGCTTGAGTTTCTCCATTTCAGAGCTCCCACGGGATAGAACTTGGGCGTATGGTTCTGAACATGTACAGGGCAATAAATTCAAGGAGGTAAAAGCTACTGATCAGCCGGTAAATAATGACATGACCATTCTCTCTTCTTTACTGCTAAACTGCTTAATGTCTCAGGCTAATTACAGGTCGAGTCACAAGTGTGGAGGGGCTATAATTCCAGCCCAATAGGATGGCACTCTTGGAGGTGCACGTACTTCAAACCAGACCCATCTCTGACCCTCCAGGACTGCAATTTCTTTCAGGCTAATTGCAATGTGGAGGCTTCTACTTATCTATAGGGAATAAAGAAGGAGTTAGGGTATAGGCTGGGAGAGTTTGGGCATTTAAAAATATTTCTAGTTATTGTATTTTCTGCTCATAAGCCACATCCATCACCAAGGGCCTGGTGAAGGTGGACCATACATGTCTATAATAGGGAAAATACATCAAGGTGACCCCAAAGTGGCAGATTCTCTATGGAGTGTCCCTGAAAGTGTAGCAGTTCTTCTGGATTGAGTCCTATAAAGAAGACTCTCTTAATCTCAGCAGGGAATTCTGTTCTGTCTGTGTTAGTCTTCACCTCCTCTTGATTTAATCTGAACACAGTAAGAAAAGTGGTGAAACAGACCACGAGCACAAAGGGCAGCTATAGAAATAAGGGTATAGGACCTTCAGAGGTTTAGCCATATACAAGTCTCCCATTTCTCAAAGCTGGGCCAAGCTTACATAGTATGGGCAACATGACAGGCTGTATTCTTCACAGGGAAAGATGGTAAAGTAAGAGTTCCTAAGAAATCTTTAATAGAAGACTACTTAAAAGAAAAAATAATTTTGTATAGTTTTTAAAAATTAGGGTCATTTAAATTTGAAGAACATTGAGTTGTATTCAATAAAATATGCTTGAATTCTATTTATAAACACAGAAGACAGAGATGAAGAAAAGGAAAAGAGAGAAAATCTCAATGTGTTATAGTCCCAAGAGGCAAGGAATCAACAAAAATGTATATCATATATATAGACCTACCTACTAATACAATTTTTTGGAGGACAGGTGACACCACCTTTTGGATTAAAAATTAGGTTAAACATCGTCAGAATATGTTATAACAATGTCTTAATACTTAGACTTTTAAATTTAAGATTTCTCGGGAAGTTCTCTTTTCCTCACTTTAATAATGACAAGTAATTCCTGCTTTGAAAAAAAATGAGCCTAGAATTTCATTTTTTTAAAGGTAAGAACCTATATTCAGGGAGTAACATTCTTGTTTTCTGCTATCTTAAAATATGGCTGATTAAATCTGTGTAAAACCCATGCTGTGATTTTTTTTTTTTTTCCACCTGTGGGATAAATAGGAGTTCTACTCTGGATACAGTTACAATAAGTTACCACTGGAGGTTTCCTGCCTCAGCCACTACTACTTCCAGATCAAATGCAGAGAGGCCCGGCTGAGGCTGGACAGGCTACATGAGACTATTTTGAAAAAAAAAAATCAGAGGGGGCACCTGAGTGGCTCAGTTGGTTAAATGTCTCTTGATTTCAGCCTGAGGTCATGAACTCAGGGTCTTGAGATTGAGCCCTATATCTGGCTCTGTGCTAGGTGTAGAGCCTGCTTAAGATTCTCTCTTTGCCTCTCCTCCCCATCTCTCTCCCACTCTAAAAAAAAAAAAAGGAGGAAAAAAGGAAGGGAGGGAAGAAGAGAGGGAGGGAGGAAAGGAAGGAAGGGAAGGAGAAAAGGTAGAAAGAAAGAAAGATTGAGAAAAGAGAAGTCCTTCAAAGAACCCAAGCTTTTTTGTGGCTAGTAGAAAAACCCATTCATTCATTCATTCATTCATTCATTCAATATCTGTTGTATACCTGGTACTTTCCAAGCACATTATCAGACACGAATACAATTAGTGAATAAGATGGACAGTGTGCCCTGGTAGAGTTTTTGGTCTGGAGGACTAAGAGAAAAGGGAAAACTGGGGAGGCCATGAAGGAAAGGGTCTGAGAGGCCTAATCTACCTGGGGCAGTGGTAGAGGGGTTCTGTACTCCCCACTGGATTTGAGTCTCCTGCAAAGTCAAGGGTTCTTAGGAGTTGTCCATCCCCTGTGAGCAGCTTTTCTTCCACTGCAGCTGCATATCGTCCACTATAACTCAGACCTGTACCCCAACGCCAGCAGCGCCAGTAACAAGTCAGAGGGCCTCGCCGTCCTAGCTGTTCTCATAGAGGTAAGATGTTTAAAGGGATTTTATGTGAAATTTGAAGCCAGGAGGATATCAGACTCAGCATTTGGTCCATGAATTCCTGTCTGTCGGATGTGTATGGCCCACTCTCGTTGGCCGTGTCTTGCCTCTAGAGATGGAGGTATTCCCCCATAGGGTACATTCTCTTTTGGCCTAGAGGCGGCACTTTCTGTAGCTGGGCAGCAGAAATGGGTACTTTGGAACACTGGAACACTGGAAAAATGGAAACTTTGGAACACTGGAAAAAATGAGCCCTCGTTCCTAGCCCTGTTGCATAAAGCTCAGAATTGCCCATTGGATAGGACCTGAGTGTAGGGGTTGGGGCTGGGGATCATGCAGTGCTGCCTCATCAGGTATCTGAATCCCTTACACAACTCCTGATATCCAAGTTCCATTCTTTACATGGACCCTGGAGTGAGCTACTTCCTTAGTTCCAGAAAATGGGAATGTTTCCTGATTTGCTTGCATGTTTCTCCCTAATAAGACAACATGTACCTCATTTCTCAACATGCTTGCTTGCCTGACTTGGCTTGTGTGAACTCAAGCTCCCTTAAGTTCTGGTTAGAGAACATGGTAGTTGTGGCTTTCCCGCTCACAGCCTGATAATCAGGAGCGCAAGCCACATTCCTTGCCCTGGGACACACAAGCCCTAGTGCCTTGAGTGCTCAGCACCTTGGATCCTGAGAAGCAAGAGGACAGGACCATCACCCCAAATCCCTAACAGCCCAGGGATCCTTCATAATTGTCCTGGTAAAGTGCATCCTCCAGAGAGGATTTTGGCAATGGCAACTATATGCCCCTAGCTGAGCCCTTCCCTGAGCAGCAGTTGAACCAGGCTCAGCCAACACAATTGTACTAGTTCAGCCTGCCCCATCTCTGTTGCAGATAGGCTCCTTCAATCCGTCTTATGACAAGATCTTCAAGCACCTTCAAGATGTAAGATACAAAGGTAAGGGGTCTTTGGATGCATATTCGCCCTCTATTGGAGAAGGAGGGAGTCACTCCCATGTGACCTGAAGAAAAATGAATGCAGCGAGCAGGTTCATATTCTAGGTTCGGTCATGGGCGCAGCAGCACGTTGGCCCTGGGGAGAAAGGCTGACACCATTTCTCTACCATGTCTCTCCAGGCCAAGAGGTGCTCATTCCAGGTTTCAGCATTGAAGAGCTGCTCCCCGAGAGGCCCGATGAGTACTACCGCTACAAAGGGTCCCTGACCACACCCCCTTGCCACCCCACAGTGCTCTGGACAGTTTTCCGGAACGCTGTGCAAATTTCCCAGGAGCAGGTAACTGTCGTGCCCTTCTGAGTCACAGACCACGTGGTATCTTGGTCCCTGCCATCACCCAGATCATCATCAATCACTTGGTTTCCTCACTTAGAGCTTCATTGACAGCTATGCCAAACCTCTCCAAATATCAAAGGCACCTGGCAGCATGGCAGAAAGGACAGGCTGAGTTGCAGAGTGGAGTTATTGAGTCAAGCTAGGAAAATTAACCTGGGTCCACAGTTCCTTACAAACGAGTTGTTAAGCGGCATTTCCTAACATTTCCCTCAGTGGCTGGATGGTGTTTCTTCTGTGGCTGGACAGAGCACAGTTCCTTTATAGGGCAGAACAAAGACAGAGCCAGTTAGATGGTTTAACAAACCAGAGGGCTGGGGTTGCAGCAGTAAGTAAGCGACAGTCTCTGCCCTCAGGAAGCTCAAGGTCTAGTGCAAAACTGGGGGCACAGAGTCCTCAGCAATCATCTCTGACCCTCTCATCTTACAGGTGATGAAAGTGAGGGGTAAACAGATGAGGGAGCTTGTGGGATCGCCCACTGATTGGCCACAAAGCTAAGCCCCAAAGGCAGACCGGAGTTTCTGGTCACTGTCCATCCCTCTGCTCCCCAGAAATTCATCAAGAAGAAAACTGGCTGTCCAGGAGACACGGCCCAGGCAGTGCCACACATGGGTTCCTGGCCCACCCCGCTCCCCTGGCCATCTCCCTGAGTCCAGGAAGTCCCTCACTGTTGCTCCTTCTTTTTTACTATGAGCTACTGATCTGAGTAATGTAGATAAATGGCAACAGGTAGGCGGACAGGAATAAAGATGTGATGAATCAAGAAATGAAATGTTCAGGGAAACGGTAATACCCTAACCTAGAAACTGCCTTGGAAACCAATTATATAATCTATGTGGGTGTATGAAAATTCTGTGGAACCAGTCATCAGAGGGCCTGTGAAACTCTTGCCTCCTTCTTTTTGTTCCTTTAGATGAGACCATCAGAATAAGCGTTAGGTCCCTCCAATTTAGAGCTGGGTTCCAAATTGGGCCCATGAGAGGAACACTATTTCTGTGGGAGGTTGAGGAGTCCCTCTGCCACCCAGCAGCTAATAGCACTAACCTTCCTCCAAGCATTGGGAGGAGGGGAAAGACCAGCTCACCCAGTGCCCAGTCAACCAGATACCTGCTGGTGAGGGGCACGGTTTTCTGGCTTTCCCACGGCTTTCTAATGTGCCTCCTGCCAAGCCCCAGAGCTCTCTTCACCATCGAGGTCAGGCAAGAGAGCATCACTCTGCCCACGGAGTATGTTTCTGCTGCTCCCCTTGCAGCTGCTGGCTTTGGAGACTGCTCTGTACTACACATATGTGGATGACCCATCCCCCAGAGAAATGGTCAACAACTTCCGGCGGGTCCAGGAGTTTGAGGAGAGGCAGGTGTACATCTCTTTCCGACAAGGTGAGAAGATGCGGTGTGTGTGTGGGGAGTGTGGTGCCAAGACACCCATCTTACATGAAGTTGGGTGGCTACCCTTGGGCGTTGTCACCGATGCCCTTAGGAACTGGGTTAAGAGCACTCTGGCTACCAAGGGAATGACAGTGTGTAAGAAGCTACTGTGTGTGGGTTTACTGAGGCTGCCCTTCTGCTCTTGACTTTCCTGAGCCTTTGTGGGGAAACTCTAGGTGTCTGGACCAGAGGCCTCATTAAATCTGGAGTCTCCCACAGATGGGGACGAGAGGATGCTCTGGAGGACCTCTCTGCTCTGGAGAACTACCCTTCTTTTAAGACACACGATAGGACTGTTTTCATGAGATCAAACTCCTGACTTCTTACCCTAGGCTTTCTTGGCATGAAGGCCCATCTTTAGCCTGGCGGGGTGACTCATAGCACTGCCAGCATCACTGATGTCTGGGAAGGTCCTTTGTAAGGATTCACAGAGGGGCATAATCCACGTTTGCAGACACAGCAGCTCACAGCCTAATATAGCAGGACCCGTCAGGCAAGAAAGCGTCTGCGTTCACTCCCCTTTGGTCTCATCTCCTTAAGCACAGGCACACAGGAGCTACACTGAATGAAGCAGGAAGTTTGGTTTAGTCCTAATGCTATGAAAGCTCAGTTCTTCTTTTACATCTGTAACCCTAACTCCCCAGAAGGACATTGAACATCTTTATCTGTTCAGTATCTGTGTCGATACTTTTGGAAGCCGGGGGGTCCAGGGAAACAGGTAAGAGAACACTGTTGGGACCCACACTCTTCTTTGAACCTCCAAGTTCACTTTCTCACTGTAGATTCTTGAGTCACTCTCAAGAAGGGAACCGCAAGTGGTCAGAAGCAGGGTAGGTCTGTGGAAGTTTCACTTTATCCTTGTACATCACTTGTCACTGAACTGGGCCAGGTGACCATATCTAAACATGACCCCATTGATCCACCTGTCAGCTCTCACCAGGTCTCCTCTGGTGTACCTCTTTTGTTGTTGTTCCTTTCTTATTGTGTGAGATTATAATTACCACTGACTAAGCTTAGTTAAACATAGGAAGATTGTATTTCGAAGCCCTTGCCAGAAAGCTTTAGAAACGTGCCCTTCTGAACGGACCCATACTTATGGTCAGAATTAGGTTCTTCTGTCAGTTACAGAATCGAGAACTGCCCAAGAATTTATCTTTTGTGCTCTCCTCTCCAGATGCCACTGGTTAAGGTAATTCTCTCATTTCCTCAGTTTCCTGGTCTGAAAACTGAATCCGTGAACACTGACCCTTCCTAAAAAATCGAGAATCTATACGATGATAACTGTCAACTTCTTTTCTAGGAAATGCCTCAAATGTACAGAATTATCCCTTTATGATCTCTTTTGGATATAAATTTCTCTTTTCCTGTTCTTCAAAATGGAATATGTAGTAGTCAAGGGTTAAATGGAAAATACTTCAACTCTTAGATAAAATAAAAACATAAAAACTCTACCTGGAGATAAAGGACTGGGCCCACATAGATAAGGTAGAATTTTGTTTGTGATTCAAAGATTGTAATCAGATCTCCTCTCTGGGCTGGTCTGTACAAGTCACTGGGGATACACTGGGGATATGGTGATAAATATTCCCCCTCCTATTGTCAAAAGACCTAGGTTCAAGGCCTCTGTTTATTTCCTCCTGGCTGTATGATGTAAGCCAATCATGTCCCTTCTTTGGCTTGGTTTCTTCAGCCATAAAATGATAGGCTGGGCTAGGTGACCTAACATCCTTTCAGTACTAACATGTTATATGATTCTAAGTGGACACTAACAACTGCTCATCCTCACTTTACGTTGCAGGGACAGTGTTTGAGGACAGTTACAGAGGATCAGAAGAAACCATGCAGGAACTTGAGCCTGACATCCCAAAGTAACCTCCTCTTGTAACAATGGATTGTGGCACTGGGAATAATTAGCCATCTTCTTAGACTGTCCCAGATCTAAGCTGGTGCTCGTGGAGGGGGCAGTGTGGTCAGGCCTGTAGCAGAGCTATTTCAGTAGACTCTCCTAGTCTAGTTGGGGAGCTTGAGGGGCCTCTCAGCAGAAGCCTGGAGACTGACTCCAAGCTAAGGACATCAGGATCAAAACCCAAACGCAGCTTTGCCACTGCCTTTCCTGAACCGTTCAGCCAGAAATGCTGTTTCATGGAGCCCAGGCTGGGCCCAGCTCTCCCCTTGGAGTGAGACAGTCCAAGGCAAACCTGTTCATTTGGAGGCTGATTATAGAAACTTGGCAAGAAATGTCCCCTCCTGCTCACTTCTCAAAGACACAGGCAGCTAACAGGGCTGTTTCCCAAGGAGCAATTGCGGGGGGACAGCCCCAAAGGAGTGAAGACCCAAATCTCACCCCTCAGGGGCACCTGCATTCATGAGGGGCCTCTCACACTAACTTGGAGGGGCCTCAGACTGTAACATGCCATTTCAGGTTTATGCGATGAGCCCGTTTGTCAGTGTGGACCTTGAGCAATTCAGACTCAAGTATTTATACACTCTTCCACTGAGGCATGCTTGTAATTAGGGTCTGATTTATTCAGGGTTTTCTCTGGAAGTTAGTAGGAACTACAGAGTTGGACTATTTTTTTTTTAAGATTTTATTTATTTGACAGAGAGAGATCACAAGTAGGCAGAGCAGCAGGCAGAGAGAGAGGGAGAAGCAGGCTCCCTGCTGAGCAGAGAGCCTGATGCGGGGCTCGAACCCAGGACCCTGAGATCATGACCTGAGCTGAAGACAGAGGCTTAACCCACTGAGCCACCCAGGCGCCCCCAGAGTTGGACTATTTTGCCAGGAGAAAAGTAATGTCAAGGAAATCCTCTAGGAGAGAAAGTGCAAGGACTTTGAGATTAGGCTCTGAGGGTTAGCCAAATTGTAACAATTAGGACTGAATCATTTAGCTTGACCATGCTTTTTCCTCAACTGTGCTTAGAAAAGGCATAAAGAATTTGGTTTCTGTCCTTAAGAGGTAGTAGCCTGTCCTTCGGCCATCAAAAGGAATGAAACCTTGCCATTTCATTGCCATTTGCAACAACATGGATGGAACTAAAGAGTATTTTGCTAAGAGAAATAATTCAGAGAAAGACAAATGCGATATGATTTCACTCATATGTGGAGTTTAAGAAACAAAATAGTTGAACATAGGGGAAGGGAAGGAAAAATAAAATAAGATAAAAATAGAGAAGGAAGCAAACTGTGAGAGACTCTTTAACTATAGGAAACAAACGGAGGGTTGATGGAGAGGAGGTGGGTGGGTGACGGGGTAGTTGGAGGATGAGCATTAAGGAGGGCACATGATGGAATGAGCACTGGGTGTTCTATGCAACTGATGAATCACTAGATTCTATCCCTGAAAGTAATACTACACTATATGTTAACTAAATTGAATTTAAATAAAACATTTCTAAAAATAATAACTAAAATGCTGAAAAAAAAAGAAAAAGAAAGAAGTAGTAGTCTGTCCTTAAGGACAGACTTTAGTCTGTACTATGATTTGGCCCTAGTGCAGGAATTCTCAACCTTGGGGCTACTGACCTTTTGGGCTGGATTACTCTCACTGGGGGGCTATACATTGTACGATGTACACTGTGTACATAATATACATTACTGTGGCATCAGCAGCATCCCTAGCCTCTCCCCACCAGATGCCCATGATATACCCCCAATTCTGACTGACAAAAATGTCTCCAGACATTGCCAATGTCTCCAGGGCAGGAGAGGCAAAATTGAGAACCACTGCTCAGGGATTACACAAAGCCTTTGCTAGGCTCCGACTGATTTTTTTTCCCCATTCATATCACAGGATTCTGGAGTTTTCTATCAAATGCCCTGGTCTTTATTACAGCATGACATTTTCTTTATTTTTTAATTGCCTTTTAAAAGATTATTTATTTACTTATTTGAGAGAGAAACAGGAGAGAGCACAAGCCAGGGAGGAGCAGAGGGACAGGGACAAGCAGACTCTGTGCTAAGCACAGAGCCCCACACGGGGCTCAATGCCATGACCCAGAGATTATGACCAGAGCTAAAATCAAGATTCGGACACTCAACCAACTGAGCTACCCAGGTACCCCTACAGCATGACCTTTTCAGTCTGGTGATGGTTACCCCTGAAACCAAAAGGTTGTTGGGTTATTAAGGAGAACAACCAAACTCAAGAAAAACCCTATTCCCCATCTTCCTTTAGAATTTGAATATACCTTCTTTTTATACAATTGGGTACATCCAAGGCTAAGAGAAGTGGATGGCAGAGAACTATCCACCCTAAGGAGAACCATACAAACCACTTTATCAGGGGTCCAGATGCCTCTGAGGAAGCAACTTGCTTTATAATTTCCTTATCATTTTTCTCCTTGCTTTTGTACCATTTTCCCCCCTCATATGTGTTGTGTTTCTTGTTCCCTTTGGTTAAAATGCCCACTCTTTGTGGAGAGGTGAAACTCATGTGAGGCACTTTTTTTTAGCTCTGAGAGAGTGCCTCTTCCAAGGGGCACAAATAGAAGGCTTGAGCTAATGAGAGGACACAAGACTCATTGTCCTCAAGGAGGGATCCCAGAGAAGGGAACACATCTGTGAGCAGACCGGACTTCACAGAAGTCCAATCCCTCTGGGAGGTGGCAGAGGAAGATTTACAGACCAGGGGCCCGATTCTTGGTTCCTTCAAGTTGACCTCTTCCTAGCTAAACATACCAACCCTGAGTCCTGATGGTGATGGGTCATAAAGGAAGAGCCTAGCAAACCGAAATGTTCTTGTTACCTAGCTCTATTTTTAATATGCCAGGGCAAGGGAAACTCGAGAGACAAGGGGAAGCCAGAGAGTTTCTATAATCATGTCTGTAGTGGGCTTGCTCTGAGCAACTGCATGTCACCGCTGCAGAGCCCAGAGCCAGAAGAGGCACACTTAGGAGCGCTGGACAGCAGATGGTGGGGCGGGGGGTGGCTTTCGCCCATGGTACTTCTGCGG